AACAGAAAGAGGAAGAATTTTTGATTCCCAGGTCTATGTTCAGGAAATATGTGTAAGTAAGAATAAAAGGTGAATTAGACATTTAGAATTACTTTCTAATAATGAGTCATTACTAAAATAGATTGCCTAGGAAGATTGAAATTATTAAAATCAGATTAGACAAATAACTGAAAAATATTTCATTATAATCTGAATTATAAAAATATAATAATATAGTTGGGATAGGTTTTAGGGCATGTTGTAATTGAAATGGCAATTTATGGGGTTTTTGGTAAAAAAAAATTCAAGTACCACTTTGTGAGGAGGTAGAACAAAATTCTTGAGTAGTTAATGCAGTATTTTCACATCTTATTTTAAAAGAGAATAAATGTTACATTTAATATTATAACACTAATTTTATCTTCTGCATCTGATTTTTTTACCAGGTCTTTATAAAACTGTGCCCACATTTCAAGTCACTTTGTGGGTTCCATCTGAGTCACATATTCAGATATCCTTTTCTAAACAACCTGTCCTGGTCTGTGTTCTGTGAGTTTATATAATGTTGTGCAGCCTAAGCAAGGCAGCAGATTACATTTATGTAAGTGAAAATACATTGCATAAGTAAGATGCCATATAAGTTTGGACTTTGAAAGCAACATCTGCTCCTATGCAGAGTCCTTTGTTGTTTTGGGGACTATTGCAAAAATGCACTATAGAACAATAACCCTTTTCAGAAACAGAACACCTGCCAGAGTAAACCTTAAATTGATGTTTTGCACCAATCAGAGTTTATATCCCAGCTAATTGAGTTTTGTCTTGAAATACAAGAGATCTCCTCATGAGGAAAATTGTTTATGTGTTGTAATCTTGATTTTACTTTTCTGGGATTTTTGGATTGTTTTGGAGCATGGTTTTGTTTAAAATATTGTAGAAAGATGGACTCAGGATGAACTGAATTCATCTCTAGGATTTTCACTTTGCAACAGAAAATGCTGCTTTGTCAATGAATAAACTGAAGCCTCTCTAAGAGCAGGCCTGTATTACTTGGCATGTGAGAAGATGTTGTGAATGTCCTTTGTGTTTCTAAATATAACTTCTTCTATTACTGTAAAGCAGTATGTAACAAGTAGAGGAGTGTGATTGGCATATGCAAATATTTCCTTAACATATTGAAAATTTATTCCTCTTGATAAGTCATTGAAGAAAAATTAGAGCAACAGTATGTTCAGTATATCCTTTTTTCATATGTGAAAAAAAAATAACCGGCAGCAAGTTATACAATAAATGTAAAAATGCAGGAAAATCAAATGCAAATTCTTTGAATTTTTGTTAGGTGCTAGTCAGTGCTTTATGCCTGGAAAAGAAAAATCTGCCTTTGCGGGTTTTTTCAGAAGATCCTGTTTTTCAGATATTCCTTTGAAAAAATACTGGAAAACCTTCTTAGTCTGTCATTCAATATTCTGGTATGAGAAATGGCCTCTTGATCACTTCTGGGTTTCTTTCTCACTGATTCAGTCTTGTACTGTCAGGTGGTCTGATTTTTTTCCCCCCCTTCTTTATTAATATATTCAGCTGATCTCAGATCTGTGCAGTCTCTTTCCCTGCTGTAAATGTTAGGCACAAGGTCTCAACTAGAAAGGTTGCCAGTACTTCTATTTATGAACTTCATCTTTTAACTTTGAAGCACAGTTACTGATTTTTATTTCTTTTTAATAAAACATTTTCATAAAAGATGAAAAGGAGATGGAGCAAAATTTTTCAGCAATGGAGAGACTAGCTCTTTACTGACACACCAGTACTGATCTTGGGATGGATCCATCAAGGAAAATATGCTCTATATTCTATATTCAGATAGATCTGAAGTAGGAATTGCAAAGTAATCCAACATTTCTTAAAATTATCAGTAGAAATATGACACTAAGTAATATAGACTTAAATTGTTTTTTTTTATAACTCTTTATTTAATAGTGAATATTTGTAATATTCTGAATGTAGCTTATGCTTTGTTTCACCTAAAGCACCGATATTATAAATCAGTCCTCTCTCCATCTACCAGCAGTTTTGTGGATCTTCATGTTCTGCTGGTGACAGAAAATAGCCAATGACTTTTCTGGTTTAAATTAGTGCCCCTCTCTAAAAGATTTGGTGGTATTATTTTCTGCAGGAAGATGCAGGATATGACAAGATTGCGTTTTTCACAGCTCTATAAATATTACAGCAGGAAGGGCCATTTTAATAACCTGCTCTGACGTCTTATGTATTGCAGGCGTAGATTTCATCTGACTACTCCTTCACTTTGGACCAATAATTTCTGACTGAACTAGAATGTACTTTTTTCCTTGAAATGCATCAGTCTTGGTTTAAAGTCTCTGCAGTGGTAAATATTGCTGCTGTACATTCTTTATTTGCCATTATTTTATAGCAGTGGTAATAGTCAGGTGAATGTGGATATCCCTTTGGTTGCCCTGTGTTGGCTTTAGCCCTTGCATTTCTGGTGTGTCTGTCTGCTAGGTGAAACCCTGTAGTGTCACATACTTCATGGAATTGCTGACTGCTGACTGATTATCTTGGTGAGTGACTGATCTGTCACTGGTGCTTCTGAATGCTTTTAAATGTGCAGCATCCTGACATCTTCCTGTTGTTTGGTAGATCTGTTTTACAGTATATTGAGATGGGAAATGTTCTCTTGGCATGTACCCTCTAATTCTTTATAGGCTTTGATTACAACCCTGCCAACTAGGAAAAAAATATTGTTGAGAATATTATGAAAGCTGATGTGCAATTTCAAATGACAATACACAGCATCAGCTGCTCCCCTGTGTGTTCTGTTCAGGAGGTTGGAGTCTGGGTGTGCTAAACCTGTGGTGCCTGGGCAGGCCACACAAATTGTTCTGAGTTCCTCTCATCACTGAGGCTTTCTCAGTGGTGAGCGAGGAGTGGGGCGCAATGCAGGCACCTTTGTGACTCATGAGTGCATAGTCAGGGTGACTCATCTGGATTGTGCTCATTTGACAGAACCACTGGTGGCCACAAAGGAAAACTGCTGATGAATCCTGGCTTCATATGAAAGAGAATATTGCCCTTGGCTGGGCAAGGGGTTACCTGAAAGTGGTACTGCTTATCCTTGTGAGTTATGGGATTTGGTATTTGATAGCACTTGGAAAGAAAAATAATACAGAAGAATTCTTGGTATGACTCAAGAAACTTATAGTAATTTCCATCTGTCTTGCTATGTATTTATTTTAAATAGAACAAGCCCTTATCTTACCATTTTCTACAAACATTATTGCAAAGCAATGCTGTGCTCTTATTTACTTTTTTCCCAACAAAGTGAAATGGCTGTTTGAGAGGCTATCTGCTCTTCCAAAAGAAACTACTTATCAAAAAATGACCATCCTAGGAGACAAGGGAAATTGTTTGTACTTTACTAGTACCAAAGGACTGATCTAATAAAAACAACTCTTTTAAGTCACCTCCATTGCACTATACAACTACTAAGAAGGCAATGGTCATGACTGCAAATGAGTACTTGTAATATTCCACACTTCTTCCAGAAAAAATATGTTCTGTGGGTTGCTAAATAAGACTTTACTTCTGTATATAAATCATATGACAGCTCTGAAATTATTTTGATTGGAATATTATGTATTATTGCCTTTAATTAAAAAAAAAAAAGAGCACGCAAATCAGATGAAAGTTTTTCTTATTTAGTGATACTTATTCTTAATGATTTTCTTTCTACAATATAGTGAAAAAATGGGTGCTTCTGAGGATGTTTTTATATTTGTTGTTATTTGTTATTAAAGAGTGGGCTGGTCTGTTTCCTCAGTGGAGTAGCCCACTGGAGATGTGTGTTAAGGCCTGAACATAATCATAAAGGATGCAGAAATTAGAATGGGTTAGTGAAGATACAATGTGCTGAAGATAGCAGGCTCTTTCAGAAAGCTTTTATGTTAATAGATTATTGAATTTCATCTGCTGTTTTATCGCTGCAGAGATTAATACAAAGTAATATATATGAATTGATGAAAAAGGTTCTCTTTCTACATAAAAGGAATTTCTATATGTGATGAATATTGAGCTATTCTCACTCAGAAAAAAGTTACAGCAGATATTTCTGTTTCAAATGTCAGAATGGTAGTGTTAGAAGGGCAAATAAAATCTTAAATAGGAGTAAAGAATAAAATGGAAATAATATTGCTACTGTAATAATGGGCTACTGTACAGATTCATGGTTCACTTGCATCTTGAATACAATATGCTGATCTCTGTTGCATCTCAGCAGACTCTAGGAGAATACAAAAATTTATTAAAGGCAGCGAGCAAGGAATTCTCAGGTTGGAAAAGGGGCAGAGGAGGGAAAGAAGGGAAATAAAACACAGATCATTACATTTTGAGTGGTATAAAGCATGAACCCAGAGGCACAGCTGTGGACTGAAAGTGTCCCTGAGCTGCAAGTCATAGAAGGTGGTGTGATGCTGTGTGGAGAATCTGCAGGGATTTACTCCTTCTGGATAATCACTGGGGAGCACTGTGCAGAGACAGGGTACTGAGAAGGAATAACAGAGCAGCAAGCTGACAGATGTGCTTATTCAAATTTATATCTTAATTTGTCTTGATCTAGGAGAGTTTTCATATGGCTGGTGTTGTCTAATTTCAGAAGTAAGTTATAATGCAGTGGCAAAACAAATAAGCAAAGCAAACCAAAATGCTCTTAAACAAACCCCCCTTAGATTGACTTGGTTCCTTTGCGGGTAAAGGATAATTTCAATTATTTGCTATTGAACTAGAAAAAATACAAGTGAATGCCTGGGGGAAGGAAAAAAAAAATCAATGATATTAGAACAATCAGAATTCAAGTTTTTATGAACACAAATAGTGTGATGAGAAATATGAAGAGAGACTTGACTGTTTTCCCCATCCCAATTTCCTTTTCATCAAGAAAGATTCTATTGACATGTCGATGATTCATGTTCTGTTTTCTCTGGTTTATTACAGCCCTGTTTTTCCTCTTGTAGGTTAACAGAACCTTCTGGATATTTAACAGATGGACCTATAAATTACAAATATAAAACTAAATGCACATGGTTAATTGAAGGATAGTAAGTATCTATTTTCATAGCCTACATTTTCTAAACAGTTTGCTACTATGTGTTGTAGGGATCAAAAGAACTCCTGACATAGAGACTGCATGAGAGTATAATAAGAACAGTTTGGTCATTTGTTACTTTGCTTAGGTTTTGTTTAGATATTATACAGAATTTTAAGAAAAAGGTATTAGGATTTTCAGGACTGCTTAGAGTTGGCCAAGATCCATTTCCATTCAAATTGCTGGCAAAAATTTAGACTGACATTGATATTTGGCTGGTGCTGCAGGCCCTCAAAACCCTGTGATAAACTTGTTGCATATTTGAGTACCTTTACATAAGTTCCAAAAGTAGTTACAGAATCCCTTTATTTAACTCATTACCTGGCTTATCTTATTTGACTCACATCAGTGATAAATCAGCAATGGCCTCATGTACAGAATGCTTATTCAGTTATGTGTTCCTTAAAAGTTAGTGCTTCTATAAAGTATTTTCTTTGAATTTTACTGTTCCTCATGTACTTAGTTTTGAAATAGATTTGTGCCTACAGTTTAGGTTCCTCATGCCTGTTGCTAATTTTTCAGTTTATGCAGCACAGAAACAGACATGCCCAAAGAAATGAGACACATAAATTAGTATGGCTAAGTGTTAATGGCACAAATTGGTTACATTTCAGGAGGATTCCACCCCCCCCAGGATATGGGTTGGGATTTTGCTCACTGTAGTTCACAATTGTAGAATAAAATTAACTCCTTCTGTATTTCCATGTTGTCATAATCTCAGTTATCTTGCTTTGCTGCTGCAGTTCAGAAATGATGTGTCTGATCTGACTTTGGTCTGCTTATTTGCAGACAGTAATTTAAACAAAGCAGCAGTGAAGATATGAGTTTTGCAAAATCATTTAAATGGGATCTTTATTATCTGGAAGACCAAGCTATAGCTGAATATGTGTCTGACCTAGCTAGGCTTCTCCTTTTGCTCAGGAATACTTGCACTGCACTCCACTAAAGTGGAAACACACCTCAGCACCACAGGCAAACTGTACTTTGAAGCTGTTCCCCACTCCATTCCTCTCAGGGGATAGCAGAGTGGGAAGATGGAGGAATCAATGTGCTGCACAATCTGGGGAGGAGTAAAGCAACCAAATGTCCAAATGTCAGCACACAAAGAAGTCACATATGTGTATAATACTATGTCTTAACAAATGAACAAAGAACTCTCTCTAAAGGATCTGTCACAAAACCCACGTTTTCTAAACTGACAAATTGCACTCAAGCCTGTCAGTAGCAAGGAGAACTACAAGACATTTATATATATATATATATATGCCTGGTAATTCTGTGATATGTGAAAATTACCCTTTCAAAAAGTTTACAGATTGATTTGAACCTCGGCCAAAGTCTGGTGATATTTCCCACTTGTTGGCAGAGGGGAGGAAGCAAACACTTGCACTAATGTTGGTTGCAGTTTTGGATTTGTGTTTTAAGATTTTTATTTTCAATAATTAGCGTAATACTGGGAAGAGGCTGTGTAGGTGATTTTATCTTGAAAGATTCTTTAAAGTTCATAGTATTGACATTGTAAAGTAAATTTAATGTGTTGAGATATTTTAGTTGCTCTAAATTTGTGGTTCTGAACACTGATAAAATCTGGTGAATTTATGCCCCTTATTAACTTTAGGGATCATTTGCTGTGGACTGAATATGTGATTTTAAAATTTTCTAAGATAAAGGGTAATATTTGCTTGCTGGGGCTTTTGTTATTTAATTCTTTGAAATATTTAATTACTACTCAAAGTGTTTTAATAGAGTTATGTTGGCATGATCAATTCTCCTGTGAGTTCTTGATCTTATGGTCTCAGTAATTCTTTGAATGTGTTACATCAATGTTCTTTTTTTTCAGCCCAAATGCGATACTAAGATTAAGATTTAATCACTTTGCCACAGAATGTAGCTGGGACCATATGTATGTATATGATGGAGATTCAATATATGCACCTTTAATAGCTGTATTTAGGTGAGTGTGTTTACTAATCTTTCTGTCCACGTAGTCATGTATGGACATTTTCAGATATTGGGGAAAAAGGTAGGATTAGAGACTTTAATATGTTAACTAGATTGCTTTCTTATCTTAATATTATGGGAACATGTATGTGAAGTTGTATTAGAATGCATTCCAAAACATTACTGTTTAGGTTATATAATCACAGCAGAAATCCATTGTGTGGATACTTACTGCTGGTATTGAATGGAATGTTAATGCTTATACACAGGCACTTTCCTGGAAATCCCTGACTTACCTTGCAGATACATGGACAAGTGTTTTATACCTTGTATACCTTTTATTAAAAAAAAAAATTAAATTTATATTTATGAGTCATCTTGTTTATGTAATTAACCAGCAGAATACAAACTCCCTCTTTCCTACTTTTTTTTTTTTAATTCTAAATATGCCAAAGTTTGCTTAAAAACATTTTTCTCCTTTTCCAGTGGTCTAATAGTCCCTGAAGTGCGTGGAAATGAAACTGTTCCTGAAGTGGTTACTACATCTGGCTATGCATTGCTACACTTCTTTAGTGATGCTGCCTATAACCTCACAGGATTTAACATTTTCTATTCGTAAGTATTTTTGTCCTAAGTAATTACCTTTGGTTTTTTTTCAATAGCATAAGTGTCATACTCAATGCTAAGTGTCTAAAACAAGTGTTTAATAGTCTAAAACTATTACAGGCTGGGCTTGTAATAAGTTCTTAAGGAATGAGTTAGGGAAAAAAACTCCTACAGACAGAGTATGGTTTTTTTGAGTGAAGTCACATGGCCATTGCCAGAGCATGTTTCTCCTGTGCCATATGGAACTAGAATGTATCCCCTCCAGTGTTTATCCAACACATATAGTTGTCATATGGACTAGAAGGGAGATTATATCTGCTGTCATATAAATTCCCTTCTCTTGAACTGGAATAATCTGTTGCTTGATTTTTCTTGCTGAATATACTGTGGCTTTTGAAACCTTCCAAGCAGTTCCACTTGGATTTTTGTGCCAGCCACAAAAAAATTTATTCCATTTCTTTTCCTCTTGGGTATTTCCCCTCCTATTTTCCATCTCAGTCTACGCTCTGCCTTTGTAGATCTTACCTGCACTGTGTGTCTTTTAGTTTCTGTGATGGCAAAGTCTAATCTGATATGACCATGATTGCTTTTGTCCAGCCTCCTTTTCTATGTCAGCAGCTCCAAAGATACATCCATCAGACCAGAGCTTTTACCTTTTTATATGTCCCAGTTGTTTACAACTTCTGTCTCATTGGGGATGTGCATGTGAGGCAATGCAACATCTCTTTATATTGCTTGCCCTGGTTCAAGAGGGAATTGCTTGGTCCAGTTGGACCTGTTTCTTCCATGATTGAAGATATGCCTGTTCCTTTCTCTCAATCCCTTCAGATTCTGAAATAGCAGTTATTGGGATGTGGTGGCCAGCATTTCATTTCTTATGTTGAAGTACATGCAATATTTTTGTCTTATTCTTTATTAGTTTAAAATTCCTATTTGTGTTTCTGACCATAGCTTTGCTCTTGGCACAATACTTGGTACATTGTCTGTGGGAAGATTATTGCTGTAATTTGAAGCACATTGCCCACCTTTGGCTAGATAATAAATAGCTATTCCAAGTTTTGGAAACCTCACTGTATATATTGCATTGGAAATAGCAGCCTAGAACACTGGGTATTTTTAATTTTTGTCAGTTGACATCAGTAAAATGCAATCACCTGGCAGATTTCCTGTTGTAATTAGTTACATTTTTCAGTTATCCCTGAAGCTTTTATTACACTTTTTTATTTGTCTTGGGAGCAAATGGCAATTAGACTTGGCATTCTTAAGAAATGAGTGTATGTGCATTCTTTCATTACTTGGTAATGTGGTGCATGCTGCATATCATTACCTAATTTTTTTTTTTTTGGTAGCTTTTTTTGTAGCTGGTTTTTAATTCCATTACATATACAACTCATGAAATTCTATGCACTCTGTTTTTCTGTGTCTTTTATTGCAATGGATACTGTTAAAGCATTTTTTTAGTGAGCCAACAGTTACATTTTTATGTTAAAGAAGTACCTACAATTACTTTTTATGGCTGCATTAACTTTGCTTCTGTCACTGGTCTATTGCACTCTGCTTCCTTACTTTTTGACTTCATCTTGATGGACCACTTGTATTCCTTAATACAGGGGAAGATAGAAACACAAAATCTGTGACCAAAGTGCCATTTCAGTAGCAAACTGTATTACTTCAGAACAGTCTGAGTAAATTTTCTGTTCCTTGGAGTCAGGCAACTTTCTTCCAATTCTGCTGATCCAGTTTTTCTCATTTTGTTTGAATCCTTAATGAACCAGAAGTGAGAAATGGTCTGCTTTCCAACTAATATCTCCTGATGGAAAAACTTTACTATTCACCTTCCTGCAGAACACTCCCTGCGAGGTTGGGGGAGAGGCTTGGGGGAGAGGTTCCATACAGCTGTTAATGCCATCAATGGTTTTAATGCCATGTGTCTTACCAGGTAAAACCCTCAGGAGATTTGGAATGATGGTCAGATGTGGCATTTTCTATTTTAGCAGTGAAGCAGAATCAGTCCTTTGAGAAGTGAGTCTCCAGAAGACAAAAATGTGTCTCCTCAGTGTCCTATCACAACTACATCTTTTCAAAGGCCAACCTTGAACAATTCTCTGCTAACTTTTAATGGCTCTTTCTTCAGTCAGTTAGAGCTTCATTCAGTAAGGAAGACTGTGAACAGTATCCATCTCACATCTGCAGGGAGTGGTCTGTATTATCATGAGAGGATTGTAGTAACACTTTATTCTGAGTTTGCTGTGAGTCATCGAAAAGAGTTTCAAATCCTGTTTGGATTTCATCAGGCCCACACTGCCTGAGTTCATGGAAACTCTTGGACCCACATATTCCGTGTACTCCATCTTCCCTCCTTTCAAGGGGTTGCTTGCTTTTCTGGAACCACTTTGCTTAATTCTGCACTCCAGTTGCCTGTGATGTCAGTGTTTGGTAGGGTGTATCACAGAAATGCTAACTCCCAGAACAGCCACAGACTTCTTTCAGCCTAGGCTCTCCTGTTCTTGCATCTTGGACTGCAGAGTTAAGGTGACTCTTTTATTAAGGATTCAAAGCATGAAGTGCTACCTGTAAGTAGTTTCTTATTAGCCATCTTGTATTTTTTCCTTTTTCTTCCCTCTTTATTCTTCCCAGATGTTAGGCACACTGTTTATAGTATGGACCAAAGCTACTCAGAAAAACCCTTAAACTGTTGCCTGAGTGGAGAGTTTAAGCTCAATTACTTCCAGTGTGTTTGTTTCTAGAAATAACAAGCATTTGAAGGGACTGAGTGCTTATACTGGAATATAGGACAAAATTAGGGGGTGATCTGTCATAGGGGGGCCTGTCCTCCTGCTTAATATCAATATTTGTTGCAGTGCAAGGTGTTTGTAATCCTGAGTGCATCAAAGACTTTGTATATAAGATTGGATCAACACCTTTTGAGCTCATTTGACCTTAAAATCATCATTAAACTTGTGTTTTATCAGTAAATAGAAATTTTTCTTGGTAAAACATACTTTATCTGACAAATACTGCTGGAGTACTGTCAGATATCTTGCATATTTTTTTTTTCAGAATTAACTCTTGCCCTAATAACTGCTCAGAACATGGCAAGTGCACAACCAGTGTGTCTGTACCGAGCCGGGTGTACTGTGAGTGTGACAAGTACTGGAAGGGAGAGGCCTGTGACATTCCCTATTGCAAAGCCAACTGTGGGAGTCCAGATCATGGCTACTGTGACCTGACAGGAGAGAAGCTCTGTGTCTGCAATGACAGCTGGCAAGGTAAGCTTTGCTTAGTTCAGTGTCTAGGTAATTTGATTTTCTCCCTGCTCTCCTTTTAATGTCACATCATTGCATCATATTTTTAGTGTTTCCTGAAGTAAAGTAGCCACTGTCTGCTTTTTGTTGGGTATAATTTGTAGCAGCCTCTCAATGAAAAAGGAAGGTGAGCTGCTTTGTTACAATGGTGCAAGACTGTCTTGGGCTAATGGATGTACTGTAAGCATGTGGTGCAGTTTTTCTCCCAGTACCATATATCATTGTTTCTCATTACAGATAAATTATTTAGGATCCTAAATGTTTAATTCACTTACCATAATTATGCTAGATGCTTGTGGATTTTTGTTTTTATTGTTTGCCACTTCTGTTACAAGTCTCAATTGGCTTAGCTTGCTATGCTTAGAAATTGCCATTCTCTTAACAGAAATATTAAAATCCCTCCAGATTACTTAGCTGATCTGCCCTCTTCCCATGACTTCCTGCCTTTGCTCTGTTTTATTGCTGTTTCTTTTGACATGTCAAAGGAAATTACTTTTTAACTCCTATTAGCTGTCACACCTATTACTCCACAGGCATGATGAGATCTAATACATTTCCCTTCTTAATAATTAATGAGTTGATCATTCAAAGGCAGTCTGTGCACCCACAGAAGGGAAGTGGTTTAGCAATACAGTCATTGAATGGAAATAGTGTAGACTTATTACTGAGTCGTTTAAAACCTTCCAGGACCATAGAGCACAAAAAGATCCTGAAAGCTTAATCTCTGTCCAGAAGTTGTGAATAGAATTTGCAGCAAGACTCACCCTTTTAGTTTTGCATGGATTCCTTGCAATGTCAAATTGCTGAGTACAAAATGGGGAAATGTCACAAATCTCTGGAAATGCTTTTTAGGCTATACCTTCAGATACAGTGCTATGAACTTAATTAGAAGTTTTAAGCACAAAATAAAATTAGAAATCTGACTACTGCTGCTAGTGCCTTCCTTTCACCTGGCATTTCTGTACATACTAGCTTCCCGCTCTTTCCTGCAGATCATATAAAGAAAATTTGCTTCATCATTCCTTGGACTTTCACTGAATCTACATGGATTTCAATTAATTTTTTAAAAAAAATTCTGTCTCAGATGAACTGGCTTGGATATATAATTATTTTTCCTTACTAAATACCAAACTTTCCTTAAGATCTGGGACATGACTTTCTTGTCTGCTTTATTTCTTGATTTATTTCTACCTGTGTATTCTGTGCTTTCTGTACTGATACTATCTTCTGTGCAGATTATTTGCAATGATGGAATCATAAATTTTTCTCTTGCTGTCTGACAAGTTTTTCTTGGGTTTGGTAATTAAAATCAAAGCTGAAGGGTCTTGATTTGTATGCTTTAGGAGAGAATTTCATGTTTCATTTTTTATTACTATTTTCTTTTTATCTTATTTTGAGTAACTTCAGTGCCTGTATTAAAAAAAATCATTGAAGTGCATTGATTTGAATGTATAATAACTAGAATCTCCGATTTAGAATAGAAATCCCAGAATTTCCTATTTTATTGCATGGAGTTTCTTTTACAATGGTGACATCTTGTGGGTGTTGTTGAAGGAGCAGCTCTGAAGAACATTGCACATTTAAAACAAGGATTCTGCGAAAAGAGAACACTTTAGGTCTGTTGATGCCTGCTGCTAAAAGGCTGTGGATGTAATTTGGGGGGGGGGGGGGGGGGGCTACTGACTTGCTCTCTCTTTCTTTGCTAGGTACATGTAAAAGAGAAATCTCTCTTTAGCTGAGACCAAAGTGGTGGCTCTTGCACAATTTGACCTGTTTAAGAATTTTATAGAAAGATGCTTCTGCTGAATATGTTTTCACAGCCAGAAGATTCTCTTTGATACCAGGAACACCATGTCTTGGATTGTTTTAAGCTGTAAAGGAGCAGAGAGATTTCCAAACAGTTAAAAACTTCTGTGACAGGTGAAAAAAAATTCAGGATGACTGGAAGGATAGCAAACAGTTCCACATTTTAAAAAGGATTAAGTGGACTGTCTTTGAAATTGCTGAAAACATTGCTGACTCCTGGGTGTAGCAGGGAAAAAAAAAAAGATTTGAAGGTTCCTGAAGTTGAGAGAAACTTTATTGATACTTTGATAATCAGCACTGCAAGCAAAAGGGGAATCTGTCAGAGAGGATTTACAGGTTGTGTTTAAATTAGTCTTTAAGAGGATGAGTAGTACCTTCAAAGCAAACCTGGTCCTTCTCGTTTATTGTGTTCTGGATTGCGTTGTGAGGTGGTTTGGAAACAGAAGAAGTACATTCCTTTTGTAAGGAACTACACCAAAAATGGGGTCTAGGGTTGCACATAGTGCACACCAGCCCCAAACAGGCATTCAGCCCTAATCCAAAGTTAAAACACCAATAAAATTTCTGGAACATGTACAGTTAGTTGGTTCTCCCTACAGAGCTGCTCCTAGCAGATAAAGATGTAACAGAAGACCAGATTCTGAAATTAAACTAATTAACTTCAAAATAAGTCCATTAGCAATTCAGGCAACTTGAATTTTATAACATCTCTCTAGAGAAAAATTAGTCTTTCTGTAAGGAGAAGAGTAAACAATGTAAGTATAAAAGGAGCTATGACTACTGCAGTGTAAATCAGTGTGTTGCTTGCTTGGTACTATGGCATTTATTCTAACAGCATCTTGAGTGTGAGCAGAATAACTCTGTCAAAGTCTGTCCAACTGAGGTTATCCTGAAAGGACTCACTGGATTTGGGTTTGTTCCCACTTTTCAGCAGAAGGCTTTGATGTCAAACTCTCTTGTTTGGCCTGCCTTTTTCCCCAACACTGAGATTTAGCCAAGCTGTGCTTTTGTGGTGCTGGGTTACTGAAACTGGTGGGGAAGGTTTGAGATGGGGGCTCAGGCAGCAGCAGGTGAAATGCAGCACTGGGAAGAGCTTGTGCCAAATGCCTGGAGACTGGAAATCTGAGACCTTGGCCCGTTGGGCCTGGATGTTCTTGAACAGAAAGCACACAAGTCTGTGCCTTCAGAGATGAGGACCTGTGATGTAATATCTGCTTGGGACAGATCTGTCTTTGGAAGGAAAAAGAAAATAGAAGCAGGTTTCTTATAACTCTTCTGCCCTGTGATAATGCCCACTTTGTCTCAATTTTACTTTTGTAAAAGTAAAATTTACTTGTCTCCCATTCAAGTATAAATTCAGAAAGGAGAAACTGCGGTTTTACAGTCTGGGAAATGTCCTCTTAAATATTTGTGCATTTATACTGTATATGCATATAAAGATAGATATCCAAGGAACATTTTTGTCCCCCAATTCTGTCCCCTTATTTCTGTGCTCCATGTTTGTAGATTTTTAAATGTTGATCATAGAAATGAGAGTTGTCTAAGAAAAGTTTACATCTATAGAATTGGTAGGAAGGAATTGTCTTGTAATGGATGGTTATTTAATATGTACTGGAAATATTCTTCAGATTTATCTTCAGGCGGAATTTAATGATTTGATAGGAGTCCTTGGAAGACTGTGCAGTTTGTAAACAAAATATAGCTATTGTAATTAGAAATTTAATGTCTGAAAATTGTGTGAGAAAAGTCAAGCATCCTTATTGCAAGAGAAAGAACATCACAGGTAAATGAAGAGCTAGCTCCAGTTTTAAATACCTTTATGGTGTCATTTGACAATTAGTGAAAGCAAATTTAGCAGAATTTATTTGATTTTTTTTCACTAAATGACTGCATTAATGGGGTTGGTAATGCTCTCTGTGTCTAATTAGGGTGATATTTAGGAAGGGAGTCCCCTGCCATTTGTGAGTTTTAATGAAAAATGTAATCCATTTAGAATAAATCTATGACCCAAATATTTGTTTAAAAGGCATACACTTAAATGTATTAAAATAGAACTTGATTAGAATAATGATCCCAAGCAATACTTTTTCCTGAATACAATGAGTAGATAGTGCTGATCTCCCTGATAAGGTAAGAAACAAAAATTTACTTTATTATCTACAGCACCTTCATTTAAGATTAGGAAGAAAGTGATTAATGCAGCTCAAAACCTGTTAGCTTCATTTCAGCACTGTATAGATTTCTAGACCATAACTTGAGGCAAGAAATAATGAAACATATATTGTGATTAATAACAAAACAGTTGAAATCTGAATTTATCAGTGTAGTTCATACAAAGATAGTCTGAAAGAAAATTGACATGAAAATGCAGTATATTTTATCTGAATCTCAGTGTTTGATGACAGGAAATCACTGAAAATGAAGAGTGCATACACAAGGAAACAGTAAGGGGAACTCAGCCGCTTCATCATGAAATGTGAGTGGGTGTGCTGAACACATCTGGAAAGGTATCAGTGCTCCTTGAGGCTGATCTTGGGACTGATAATGTTACATAATTTTTGTAATCTGCCTATAAGGCTGCTAATGAAATCAGGTAATACAGAGGTGGAAGATACTTTAAATATGAAGGAGAACCAGAATATCCTGCAAAAAAGTCTGCAAATAATGTGTAGAACTCAATTACTTCAGCATAAATAGTAAATTAATACATTTAGAGACTACGAGCATTAAGAATTTGTTTTATAGTCTTGGTTTGAAATATAGAAAATGACATGGGAGAAAGCTTGCTTGTCTATCTCAATTAGAACATGAACTAATTAACATTATTACTTTATGTGCTCTGCAAACTCCAAAGTGCCAAGTGCACTGGTAGGATGATCACTCATAGAAGTTCCAGTTGAATATATGACAGTATTAGTAGTATGCTTCATGTTTTGTTACACAGTTTTATGAATGCAAATAGAAACAGTCTCAGAGGGAGAACCATTAGGATGGACAGGGCTATGGAAGACACTAACAGAGCATGGTTTGTTTAAACAATTAAGTCAAGGCTGGGAGGGAAGAGTGTTGCTGTTTATAAACATTTGTGGGGTGTATAGACAGGCCAGGTCTTTAAGTGCAGTGATAGCAGCACTGGTAGAAGAAACATTAGGATAAACTGGTCATCAATACATCATTTGGGAATTGGGAGGAGGTTTTTGTCTTAGAGCTGTGAAGTTTTCTAGAAGTTGTTAGCAGAGATACTGGAGCTTGGTACCTTGCTGCCATTAGGATGGAGTCTCAGAATCTCTAGTTCAATGGGTATTGTCAGCTACAGCTGGTCTGGAAGTCCCTGCTTCTTTTAGAGCCTGAGAAGCAAAACCTGGTTTTGTTTAAGATGACAAATCTTATGTGATGTCTACCAGAGACTCTACTTGTTCTCAGCTGTGGAAGACTAGGAGAGCTTTCCCTGCTTCTAGCAGACAATGCTGGGACATCTGGCCTTATCTTCTGTGCCAGCCTTGTCATCTTGAGTGTGGGATCTGGAGCTGAGCCGTTAAAGCTGGAGCTGTACCCATTCATGGCAGGCCCTTCAGCTCTTCTGGCTTCCCTGCTCAGATTGAGCCTGGGCATCCATGGCCAGGTCACCCTTGGGTGATCCACTCTTCCTGAGGAGACAAACGGGGCTGAGGAACAGCACCCAGCACCCCGGGGGCGTTTCAAGAGCTGCATCAGCTCGTGTGCGTTAGGATTTCTGTGTCATTCCCGAGGAGCACTGCCCTGCTGCTTTAGCTGGACACCTCACCAGGATCTCTCTGCCTGCCAGTGAGTCTCATTTTTCAGTAAGGCTGTTTGCAGGAAGGAGAAATACTTACATCCAGGATGGATATTGCAGGGGCAGTGTAGGGATACGTGGGTAAACCTACTGTAAAATGCCTAGAAAGAATTACTGAGCCATTCTAGCACAACTGGTCTGACTGTAGGACTAGTTTCAACCACTGAGTTGTGGTGGTTGAAAAATTATAATAATGTAATAATCCTCAATTCAAATGATCAGACAAACAAAACCAGAATAATCAACAAATACTTTTAAAATTGCTTTGATTAGATTGCATGAAGAGCACTGTGAAATTTATACTCAACACATCAACACTTCTGGTTTTTTCTTCTGTGCTCCCAAAGGAAAAGATTTGGTTTGAAGACAGTAGATGATGTTTAGTCATTTAGGTGGAAATTGATCGTATGACTTAAACTACTGCAACAGATTGTTACTTTGGCTTTTCATGAAACTCCTCAATAAATAGAAATTAGATTATTTCTTTTGTGTGGTGGGGATAAATCGCTTTTTTAAACCTATAGAGTTTTTTCCTACCTTAGAGGATAACGTAATTGACTTCCAGTTCAGGTTTATAAAGTTGTTTGCTGTTTTTAAAGCATTCCACCCCCCTGCCCCCCAGTGGATTGACTGACACATTAGGAAGATAAGAAAGAAACTCAATTTTAAATGAATGGAGAAAAATCATATTTGCATAAAACATAACAAAGCATATTTTTCATTATCTTTGTTCTGCAGCTGTAGTGCTCTTTGTTGCACAGAAAGCACGTATTTAGCGAATGTAATGTTTCTGAAGAGAATAGGTATTTTTGCTGAAATAATGGTGTATGTATTCAAGTAGGGAAATCTATAAATGATATTCATAAGTCTTACATTTACCTTGTTTTTACAAAGCAATAGCCGTACAAAAGAATTTGCTTATTAAATGATGTTTTGATAGAGGCCTGTACTATTCTATTGTTTTGCATTGTTGCAGCTATAGATTCCATTTTTGTCCGGACTGATAGATAACGTGGTCAGCCCTTGCCCATGGCAGAGGGGTTGGAGTTCGATGATCCTTAAGGCTCCCTCCAGCCCGAGGCTTTCTGTGACCCTGTGGCACAGTGGTGTTTCTGCTCTGCCTCTCACCTTTCCTGTCGTTCAGGTCTGACGGAGCACTGAGGCTGGAAGAGGGGTGTCTGTGGCGTTCTTCCATCACTGATCTGGCTAAGATTTTTGCATTCTTAACTGAGTATGCGGCCGTTTTCTTGCGTTCATTTTATTGCAGTCGGTGCCAGGTATCTGTCTGGAGGTGCCGCTGGAATTCTGGCTCTGCTCGCCGCTCGCCGCCAGGGGTCCCTGCGTTTTGCGACATCCCGGAGCCCGGAGGCTCGCGGTGACAGCCGGCAGAGATCCGGCTTCTCCTCCTACCTGCAGGCACCGTTTCCATCATTTTAAGCTCTTCCTTGATCGAAAAATACTTACTCAATTGTTTGTTTTAAAGCCCTTTTATATTTAAATTGTTTCCTCCAGTGATTTGCCAAAATCACGATTTTGCTGAGGTTACAATTATTTTTTTTTGCTGAGTATCAATTATTAATGCTTAAAAAATACTATACTGGGTTGTTCATGCTGTCATTAGACCTCATTCAGATACCATTAATCTTTTCTGAGGAGAAGGTATAATTAACTATGGGAATTGAGTGTCTCCATTGTTTGGAGGTAATTTGGATGCAAGTGGACATCATTCTTCTATGGTATACTAGGAAAAATTGACAGCTGGTTATGTACACTTTGGATGCCTGGTTGTTGTATAGATATATATGTATATAACAAGTTTCCCCCAAAATGACAATAAACATTGAAAAACCATAATCTCCCTGTGCTCCCATTCCCCCAAGATAATGTTTTAAAATTATTGTAAACTTGCTGTACATTACTTATTTAGCCTACTTAGTAAACTTCAGCAGCTCTCTCTTCTAAAATTGTCCGTTCTGTCCTTGACACATGTAAATCTTTGCATCTGGAGCACCCTTTGCCAGGGGAGTATCCTTGCCAAAGAGATCTGATACTTTTTACATGAAGAGCTGTCTCCTCTTGTTTGTTTGAACATGGCTTTTTCAAGCTGCATTTCATAAAACTCAGCTCTTTATATTCAGAGAGACTGTGGACTCTTCATATTCACCCTCTCTTTGTCATTTATTTTATAGACAATTATAATTAACTTCCAAATTTTGTTTCTTTCCAAGTGAAAAAGTCAGTAATTTAAAGAAATTCAGTGTTTTCTGTAATTGGAACATCCTTATTACTCTTCTGTAAAGAGTCTGCAGCACTAATCTCTTCTTTTTAAGTAGGACACAGTTTTCTAAAGTTACACAAGCCACAGATTTATGCAGTGAGGTAACAGGATTCTTGATTCTGACACGGTTCTTTATTTTGACCATTGCTGAGTGGTGATGTAATATTTTCATGAGCTATCCCGAGATGATCCTAAAATGTACCTTACTTTGTTTTCAATTTAACTATGTTGAATTTTGTGTATTTTATTGTTCAGTCACGTGGTCAGACAGGAACTTGTTCCGTGGTTCTTCAAAGGCTCTGAAATAATAGCCTTTATTAGCCTTTATATATATATACACATACACACACATACATCTATATATATATACTCAGGTTTAAAATAAGATCTAGAGCATAAACTGGTGATGGAGAGATCACATTTTTTGTTATTTTGTTATTGTGGAACAAATAAAAAATTGATTTTGCCGTTCATGATTGTAATAGTTGTATGGCTTAAAAAATTGTGCATTTTTCTGACTTTTCTTACTTTGACAAAAATGATTGGCTGAAATACGTTTGAAAATCATATGTAGTAGTTGTGGGTTTGGTGGCTTTGTATAATGGTCTATAAAGTGTTACAAAATTTAATTATTCAAATAATTATTTTGATAAAGCACGTGATAGTGTATTTTCCTCTTGAAAACGGATGCAGAATGGCATTAGCAAAAGGCAAATTTTTACTTCTAAGATTTAATATAGTATAATGCATATTGTAACTTAATTTACTGCAATATTATTTGCTTTGGTAAACACTTATTCTGGTGCAAATACAGTATAGATTTTCTCCAAAGGTAATATACAGTGCTAAAAGTTTTAGACCTATATGAAAGGTCATTTAAAAATGTGACGCTTTGTGCCTTTCTTTCAATTTGTGACTCACAGTCTCTTTTCTGAGAAGAATGTGGAAATGAATTGTTATTATTTGAGCTAATCTAATGCTTTCAATTAGATTGACATCCCATGTTGTCAATTTTTTCATTGAGCATCTGTTAAACATAAAAGTGTACACCATATTTTATCAGAATGAGCAATCCTGACATCTGTAATTAAGCCTCCCCTGTTTCTGCTTTATTGGCTTTAACATCCCAGTCTAACAGATTGCACAAATTGCACATTTGTTTACAAAACAGGCCCAGATTGTTCTCTGAACGTCCCCTCCACGGAGTCCTACTGGATCCTGCCCAACGTGAAGCCCTTCAGCCCCTCCGTGGGCCGTGCTTCCCACAAGGCTGTCCTCCATGGGAAGTTCATGTGGGTGATTGGTGGCTACACCTTCAACTACAGCTCGTTCCAAATGGTGTTGAAGTGAGTGATTTCTCATTTGTGATGGGGCTTAGGGAAAACAGATCTTACCAGGGAGGGAGCTTCTATCTTCTAATTAAACTGAAAGGTTTATGTCTCTTTTAGATTCTTTATTAATATGCTAGTTCTTATGATTATAGAAATCGATTTTCTTATGATTATAGAAAGTGAAAATATAGGCAACATCAAACTGTAGGTGATATTTATACATACTTCAGTTTGAAAAACTGCAAAACATAAGGAGCTTTGTGGTGATAAAATAGTGAAAGAAATTCACTGCTGGTATTTTCACACCGTACATTTTGAAAGCCATATTCATTATTAATGTTAATTTATGGTTACAGGACATTTGTATGTAGTGCTTGCACTTTGCCTGCTGGTGCCATGCCAGAAGGGTCAGGCAGGTCACCTGTATTCCACTTTTTTATACTTATGGCAGTTTGTGTATTTGACCACCTATTGAAAACAAAGTTGAAGCAGCTGTAAATAGGACCCAGGTGATTTGGATGGTAACTTCATGTGTAGAGGCCCTAAATGTGGCAAATACAAGTGTTAGGTTCTATTTATTAGCATGTCATTAGCATGTTTACTTCTCCTGTTGTTGTCTAGATGTTGCTTTCTTCCACACATTTGCAATCATCCAAAACAAATCCCATAATATTTTTGAATTTTCTTTTCTACTTTTGTAATTTATTTTTTTACCTCCCTCATCTGATGTTGTGCATTGATTAATTAGTTAAAATATAATGGGAATTAAAATCAACCATATATATAAGAGGGTTCCCAACAGTAAATCTTCAGAGTAGTGCAAAAGCACGGGGCATGAGGAGTTTGGTGGGGTGGGTTTTTTTATGTGGCTGATAGCAGAACAAATCTTGTGATTTTTGTTAGTTAGTCCTGTTTTCTGAGATTGCTAATGAGTCCCGTAAAGAGCTGCTTCTGTTATGCTAGAGGAATATTTAGTGCACTGTTGTAATAGTTCAAAGGATATTGTGGCCCCACTAACAAATTACCTTGTCAGAGTTAGAGTTAGTTTGAACATACAAGCCCTTCCATTTCCTCTGCAGGTTCAAAATGTTTCTTTTCCTATTTCTCTTCCAGCTACAATTTGGAAAGCAGTATTTGGAATGTAGTGCCTGTATCCAAAGGGCCACTTCAGAGATATGGACACACTCTTGCTTTGTATCAGGTTTGGACTCTTCATTGTTCTGTATAATAAATTTATATGTGCGTGCTGTTAGTGATCTTAAAATGAGTCGCCATGAATGGAGACTTTTGAGGATAATTTAATTTGTAAATATTTTGTATTAATGTTTTCTTCTTCAATACTTAGGTTTATTGCACGGTTTTTGAAACAGAGATTGTGCAATACTTCTCAATCACTTTGCTGACCATAAACCTTCTGAGCTAAAGCTGCCAATAAGAGGCAGAGGTGTGTGTGAGATATAATTGGGATTGGGGGCACCATCCCCAGGGGCTGAGCCCCACAGGCAGAGCCAATTGCTGGTAGCAGGGTCCTTTGGCAGAGCCACGGCAAGCGATGGCCCAGGTGTGGGGACTGCTCAGGGAATCCAGGAGCACAAGGAGACAGGACTGGAGAGAAGGCTCCAGTCTTAGGCTTGAGGGGGCTATCAGGGAGACAAGCTACAGAGGGTGACAGGCTTGTTAACTGTGACAGAGAAATACAGAATTGCTGTCACAAATTTTCCTTTGTTTGCATAAGGCACCGCCAGCAGGGCAGGACAAGCAGGATTGTATCAAGTCAGACCCGAGTGTTCATCTCGCCTGGTAACACCTCTTGAATAATGGGTAACAGTGAATGCCTAGGGAAGACTATAAGACAAAATGACAGGAACTTAAAGAAGCTTCCTCAGAATACTGTCCTACTTTGCAGCTGGGACTTCCTAAAATAGGGTAGTATTTTCATGGAAAAATTATGAATCCCTGTTTTTTGTTTTGTTTTTTTTTTTTTGTTTTTCCAATTTGTGGACCACGTATTTATTTTAACATTGGCATCATCCTGTGCCTAAGAATTACAGAATATTTTTTTTTAAGAAATAAAACCATTTCAGGAACTGGTACTAGCTGGTTTAATTTTGATAATCCCTACTTATTATTCTCCATTTGTTTCCTCATACTACTCATGATTTTCTGTAAGGCCATCACACATGCCACCATTTCTTTTTCATACTGAAAATACCTAGTGTTTTTAATAATCCTCTATAAGGAAGATATTTGATACATTGGGTAGTGTTGTACCATTGCCTTTACCTCTTCTAATTCTGTTATTTCCCTTTTGAAAAAGGAGGAACCACAGTCTTTAGTGTGTTCTTACCTCAGAAACTGATGTCACAGGGAATTCAGGGTCTAATTTTTTTCCTATTAATTCTTTAGAGTACTTTAGCATTTTAAAAATCTGCTGTTGGCTTTGAACTGGTATTTTTGTAGAACTGTCAGTTACATCCTCAGGATTTCATTCTGGGCAATTCAAAACCCATCCCCATATGTTTAGATTTTAAATTGTTTTTTCACATGGGCGTCTTTTCTTCCCATCCCCATATGTTTAGATTTTAAATTGTTTTTCACATGGGCGTCTTTTCATTCTTATGCATGTGAGTATTTATTTACTCTTTAATTTTTTCTTGTATTGCACATACAGTATTAGGAGATTGCTCTGCAATTATTTGCCTTCAACCATTGTCTCAGCTATTTTAAATAACATAGTAAAAAAGTATTGCTTTTTTGTCTTTCCACTCATCCCCATGCCAGCTTGTTTTTTTAACATATTGAACAAGCAAATCCCAGCTGCACATGTCTGTGGAACACCACTAGTGATCTTTATTCATTTAAGAAGTGATTATTTTTTCCCCCAAACTTTACTTTATAGACTTAATTAGCTTTGTGTTGCCTGCTTTCCTTGTTCCAGTACATCTTAGTTCCTTTAGGGCATGAGGAATATTATCAAGCACCTTTTTGAAATTTCAGGTACATGTATCATCTGGACCTTTGATTTCTTCAGAAGAAGCCAATGCTTTATTTGCAAGATAAAACTTCCCTTTTCAAAACTTCATAGAATTTTTTTTTCATCTGTTTGTCTGTTTCAGAAAGGAATTCTGTCCTTTCTGCCTCTCCCTTACCAGGCTTTTGGTATAGACACGTTTTAAAGCAGGAATTTACATACTACAGGCAGGGGTTAGTTCTTTAATTTCTGCAGAACTGATCCCACAGACTTTCTCTGCCAGGTTGTTTGGTTTTTTTTTTTGTTTTTTTTTCTTCCCTACATTAACTTTGTTTTTAGTTTTTGCTATGGAAATACCTGTAAAGTCTACCATGAAGAGACAATTAACCTCATTTTATTGCTATGGCTTTCACTTCTCAGAATACTCCTTCAGACAGTCTGTTGGCACCACAAAGTATCTAGTTAGGTGTGTTGCTATTGCATTTGAAAAGTGATGTCTTAGTACTTCATGTGTAAATTCTGTAGGCATCTCATTAAGGTGTTTCCTTCTTGCCTTGGTGTGAGTCTCTGTTTTAATCTGGTGAAATTTCCGAACTTTGTTTTGAACTCTACTTTTTCTTCAAAGTTTCCATTATCCTTCTGTTAAGTTAAACTTTATTTATTTTGTTATTTTTAATGGGAAGTTTTGTTTTCTTTTTCAAATAGGATATGTTCTTTTAATCTGAGCAAAAATGTCTTACAATATCTTACATTTAATTTTTTCACATTTTTTATATTTTTCTTTTAAAGATTTTACCCTTTTAGCTGTGCATTTTAGTTTCTTATTATGTTTGGGTTCCTTTTATATAATGAGTGCTACCTCCAAGTTAAGAGGAATTTGGGGCATGCGCTGATATTTTGTTTTGTCTTGTTTTCCTGGCATCTGTTCTTACAGAGATGTTGAATTTGTGTGTGGCATGGTGGATATTGTAGAGGTGTTTTCAGTAGTAATGTAGAGGAGGTTTTGTGCATGCCCTAACATCAACTCCAAGCTTGCTTTTCTTCCTGTCAGTTCCCTGATTCATTACTAATGTATTATCTGTTCTTTGAAAGGTCAGATCTTTTTGACCAGTGACTTTGATTATTATTACAGTTCCTGTAGAATGTGGACTTTGTAGTCAAGAAACATTTGAGTAATGTATCAATTAGCACTTCAGAATAAAGACTTAAAATATAATTTAACCTTTTTATTTGATGGTGCTAATATTTTCTTGAGACATTCCAGACTAAAGGGTAACTGTTTTAGAAGTCCTTTCACTAGCAAATATTAAATGTGATCTGTGTTAATTCAGAAATCTCTTTGGATCTCAGTGAAGTGCAACTCATGTTAATAATAATGAAAGCTACAAGCAAAGGTATAGTGAAGAAGCTGTTGTTGAAGAAATATTAGCAATTAGGATTCACTAATAATGAACCTATGTGAAATAATTAACTACTATGCTGCTTGTACTAGTGATTATGTCAAATGTCAGAAGTTACATGGGCCAAAAGAAGCTGATCATGCAAGTCAAAGAAATTTCAAGGTGAAAAAGTATTCCTTTCTGAAGTAATTTCTTACATTAACTTGTTAAGATAAAGTTCTGATACCTTTTCTTTTAGATCTACAGTCTCTTGAGAAAAACCCAGAAAAAGTAATTTAGAGTAAAGAGCAGTAGAACATAATACCTAGAGATGGCAGCTTTGAGCTGTGTTTTCAGCTCTGTACCAGTAATTGTGTAATGTTTCCTTTATGGTTGATAGGAAAAAAATATCCACAGAGAAGAAATTAGATTAAGTTTTTGACTTGAGCTTTTGAGATTTCAAAGCCTACTGCTAGGCTGGAGTGAGAGCGCAGAGCCAGCATTGCCCGATTGTGGTGCAAGATAAATTGCAGCTGTGTGATTGACTTTGTGGAGAATGAAGTAAGTTACTGTGCCCATTTCCCTCAGAAAGCTTCTTTGGTAAAAACTGAAGTACTGTTCTTCCTTATTCTGTAGGAAAAAAAGATCTGAGGACTCCCACTGGTGTATAGTTATAACAAATCCTCACAACTTTTTATGCATTTATAGAGGAGAGATCATAAAAGAGCTCTTGCTTTTAAACCTACTAAACTGTTAAATAGTTTTCAAGCTGATTACTGGAAAGGTGCTGTTAGCAAGTGGTTCTGCTGCATCTCATAAATTGTATGTAGTTTCTGGCACCTTAAAACTGAAAATATCAATGTACTTTGAAATAATTTATATAAGAAATAGGTGTATAAAGAGACTGGAGGAAGTGATGGGTTTTGGAGTAGGTACAAATAGCTTTGATAAACAAGACTAGGTAGGGAGTTAGAGTAAATTCCAAAATACTAGATTCCAATAGGGTTCCAAAACACTCCTGGAATTAAGGAGAAAGGGAGTTGCCTGCAAGGTGTATATGTGGTCACCTCTGGGACATTACTCAGTTAGTTTTTGGTAGTATCACCAAAACTGGTTGCATTTAGCCTTGCAATTGAGCTGTTGGTGCTGGTCCCTGGACACTGGATGGCTGAGCTTGGAGGTTTGTTTTCTTGAGACTGGCAATAGAGATGAAGCAAGCAAGCTGATGTAGTAGTAACCATAAAGTACACAGACCATTTTATATATAGTCAAATTTAATTTAACTCATTTGAGTTTCATGAATGTTACTTCCACTTTTAAAACTTTATTAAGAAAGGGTAATTGTTTTGATTCTTTTTACAAATTAATTAGGGTTGATGTTGAGTCTGTATATATCTTGTGGTATTTTTATTAGTCTTATCCAAAGCTAGTGTTAACAAAGCAAAAAAGAATAAAAACTTTTATTATGAATTAGATAACATCTTTCACCAGTTGGTTTATTGTTATTCTTTTAATGCCTATTTTTGTTGGCTATTGTAATATAATTTGAATAGCTCTGGAAATATAAAAGTGCTTTCTAACTATTCTATTAAGTAGCTATAGGTAGGTTGTGCCAGCAATTTTTGTAGTTTTATTGTTCTGAGACTTTGAATTACATCTTATGCACAACTTGCTCTCTTACTCTGATTTTCAGATCTCAGAAGTGTGAGAAGTAGGCGAGATGAGCTGCCCTACGCGTTTAGCATGTAGTCTTGAGAAAAGCTTCTTCAGAGTTCCCTTCTATGAAGTGGCCCTAATTCATCAAGAGATTGGTTCTTTTTGTAGAAGTGTCATATTTTTCATTCCTCATTT